ACTCCCGGGCCACAGCAGAGAGCTGGACTGGAAGAGGAGCAACCGGGACAGAATCCGGTGCCCCAATCGGGACTAGAACCCGGTGTGCTAGCACCGCAGGCAGAGGATTAGCCAAGTGAGCTGCTGCGCCGGCCCCTCTTTGGTTTTTCACCTTCAAAGTTTATGTTAAAATTTAGTTATCGATTTACTGGTATTGGAGAGTGAGGCCTATAAGAGGTAGATGTGGCCATGAGGGCGCCACCCTTGTGGATGGTGGATGCCCTTTAAGTAAGGCTTTCAGGAACAGACTTTCTCTCTGCCCTTCTGCCATCCATCATGTGGGAACTCACTGTTCTTTCCCTCCAGTGTTCTCAGCTTGCCAGGTGCCATCTTGGAAGAAGAGAATGACCTCACAAGGTTCTGAACTTGCAAATTAAGTGGAAGGGATAGAATAGGTGAGGGATAGGCTTGAGGGTTGGGGGAAATGGTTGCTTTATTCCATGGACAGAGATATTTTGAAGACATTGTTTCTCTGACCTGTTGTAAGTATAAAGATACACAGAATAAATCAGTGTACTTCCTATACACAGGTAGCTCTGAGTCTTGTGGAAAAAAATAAATAAAATGACAATTTAAATAGAATGTGAGTTATGGGAGCACAGAGAAGAAAAAGCGTGTAGCATTCTGGAGACTTCAATTTTTTTTTTTTAAAGCTTAGAGTGACTTCCCAGAGGTGAGGCATGAGTTCACTATTAGGGAATGTTTGGGAGTTAGACAGGCAGCCATAGAGTGAGGATTTCCAGGGGCGAATGATAGTATGCATTGTGTTAAGCCACCACCTGTGATGCCTGCATCCTATATGAGCAACAATTAGAGTCCTGGCTGCCCTGCTTTCATTCCAGCTCTGTGCTAATGCACCTAGGAAAGCAATGAAGATGATCCAGGTTCTTAGGCCTCTGCACTCGTATGGGAAACCCAGATGAAGCTCCTGGCTTTGGCCTGGCTCAGCCGCAGCCATTGCAGCCATTTGGGGAGTGAACCAGTGAATGAAAGGTCTTTCTGTGTCTCCCCCCTCCCACCGTGTGTAACTCCGCTTTTCAAATAAATAAATCTATCCAAAAAAAAAAAAAATTTCTGGCAGGAAAGGGCAGTGCAATGGCTTAGAGGTCTCAAGTCTCCACGGAGTCCAAGGAAAATAGCTGATCCCTGCCTGGCTCAATTCTAGCTTACAGAAGTAGGGAAAGGTGGGTATGGAGATGGAAGTCTAGCTTGGGATGTAAGCTGGAGATTCTTGGAGCTCTTAGGAATGAATGAGGTCAGAGGCGGGTTGCAGCTAAGAGAATAGGCCTAAGAGTAGAAGTTTCCAAAAATCAGCAATTACAGTGATTAGAAGAAGAAAAAAGATTAAGGAAGAGAAATACAAAAAAGATCCAACAGGGAGACTGGAGTCTAAAGCACAGGCAGCAGTTGGTTACTTTCTCCAGGAAAGGCCAGTGGAGGTCAGCCCTGTTGGTGTTGAGTTGCATTCTGGTGAGCACCACAGTGGCCATGGTGGGCCAGGGTATACTGGAGACTTGCTGGGATGGCCCACCTCATGTGGAGGGTGACAGTGTCAGAGAGGAATTGTATTTGAAACTTTAAAAGTGCAAGTACAAAGACTTCTTTTCTTGTTTCGTTGGCTTCATTTAGTAAACATCACCTAGTATTTTATGTGATTCTTTTTAAATAAATTTTTCAAAAAAGATTTATCTATTTTGAAAGGTAGTTTCAGGGGGAAGGAGGAAACAGTCTGCTGGTTTATTCCCCAAATTGTCACGTGGCCACAGAGTTGGGCTGATCCAAAGCCAGGAGCCTGGAGCTCCAGCAATCAGGGAAATGCAAATCAAAACCACAATGAGGTTTCACCTCACCTCGGTTAGAATGGCTCACATACAGAAATCTACCAACAACAGATGCTGGCGAGGAAGTGGGGAAAAAGGGACACTAACCCACTGTTGGTGGGAATGCAAACTGGTAAAGCCACTGTGGAAGTCAGTCTGGAGATTCCTCAGAAACCTGAATATAACTCTACCATACAGCCCAGCCATCCCACTCCTTGAAATTTACCCAAAGGAAATTAAATTGGCAAACAAAAAAGCTGTCTGCACCTTAATGTTTATTGCAGCTCAATTCACAATAGCTAAGACGTGGAATCAACCTAAATGCCCATCAACGGTAGACTGGATAAAGAAACTATGGGATATGTACTCTATGGAACACTATACAGCAGTAAAAAGAAAAAATGAAATCTGGTTATTTGCAACAAAATGGAGGAATCTGGAAAACATCATGCTGGATTAAATAAGCCAGTCCCAAAGGGCAAATATCATGTTCTCCCTGAGAACAACTGAGCACCAACTGAGCACCAAAAATGAAACCTGTTGAAGTGAAATGGACACTATGAGAAACAGTGACTTGATCAGCCCTTGTCCCAACTGTTGATGTACAATTTAATACTTTATCCCTTTTAGTTCCACTTGAACTCTGTAATTAACACACAATTATTCTTAGGTGTTTAAATTTAACTGAAAAGTGATCCCTGTTAAAAATAAGAGTGGGAATAAGAGAGGGAGGAGATGTACAGTTCAGCACATGCTCAATCAGACTTACCCCAATGATAGAGTTAGAAATGTGCCAGGGGATTCCAATACAATCCCATCAAGTTTGCATGTACCAATGCCATCTCACTAGTCCAAGTGATCAATTTCAGTTCACAATTGATCATACTGATAGGTCTAAGAGTCAAAGCGATGACACAAACAAGACTAGTGTCTGGTAATACTAACTGATAGAATAAAAAAGGGAGAGAACGATCCAACATGGGAAGCAGGATACACAGCAGACCCATAGAATGGCATATGTCCTAAACAGTACTCTGACCTCAGAATCAGCCCTTAAGGCATTTGGATCTGGCTGAAGAGCCCATGAGAGTATTTTAGGCATGGAAAGCCAAGACACTCTGGCAAAAACAAAGAAATAAACAAAACAAACAAACAAAAAAAAAACCCTAAATGAAAGATCTCTGCAAGTGAGATCCCAATAGAAAGAACGGGCCATCAAAGAAGGAGGTACTTTTCTCTGAAGGGAGGAGAGAACTTCCACTTTGACCTTGTCTAAATAAGATCAAAGTCAGTGAACTCAAAAAGGCTTCCATAGCCTTGGTAACTCATGACTAGAGCCTAGGGTGATTACTGATGCCATAAACAAGAGTGTCCAATTGTTAAGTCAACAACAGGAGTCACTGTGTACTTACTCCTCATGTGGGATCTTTGTCCTTAATGTGTTGTCCAATGTGAATTAATGCTATAACTAGTACTCAAACAGTATTTTACACTTTAGGTTCTGTGTGGGTGCAAACTGATGAAATCTTTACTTAATATATACTAAATCGATCTTCTGTATATAAAGAGAATTGAAAATGAATCTTGATGTGAATGGAAGGGGAGAGGGAGCGGGAGCTGGGAGGGGTGTGGGTGGGAGGGAAGTTATTGGGGGGAAAAAGCCATTGTAATCCATAAACTGTACTTTGGAAATTTAAATCTACTAAATAAAAGTAAAAAAAAAAGATTTATTTATTTGGAAAGCAGAGTTACAGAGAGAGTGGGAGAGAGAGAGTGAGCGAGAGCGAGCGAGAGCGCGCTTCTATCAGCTGGATCACTCCCCAAACAGCCAGAAGTAGGCTGATTAGGAGCCAGGATCCAGGAGCAACTGCCAGGTCTCTGATGGGATGCAGGGGCCCAAGGACTTGGGCTGTCTTCCACTGCTTTCTCATATGCATCAGCAGGGAGTTGGATCCGAAGTGGAGCAGCTGGGCCTTGAACTTGTACTGCAGATGGTGGTTTAACCCAGAACACCACAGCACCAGCTGCGGTTATAGCAAATTTTAACTCAATTTAATATCAACATATCTAGCCGGCACCGTGGCTCACTAGGCTAATCCTCCGCCTTGTGGTGCCGGCACACTGGGTTCTAGTCCTGGTCGGGGCGCCGGATTCTGTCCCGGCTGCTCCTCTTCCAGGCCAGCTCTCTGCTGTGGCCCGGGAGTGCAGTGGAGGATGGCCCAAGTACTTGGGCCCTGCACCCCATGGGAGACCAGGATAAGTACCTGGCTCCTGCTATCGGATCGGCGCGGTGCGCCGGCCACTGCGGCGGCCATTGGAGGGTGAACCAACGGCAAAGGAAGACATTTCTCTTTGTCTCTCTCTCTTTCTCACTGTCCACTGTGCCTGTCAAAAAAATAAAATATTAAAAAAAATTTAAAAAAACATATCTAAATGCTAGGATGCCATTCGTGTCCAGTCTGTCTAATGCAAAGGCACAGTGTTCGCCTTTTTTTTTTTTTTTTTTAACAGGCAGAGTGGACAGTGAGAGAGACAGAGAGAAAGGTCTTCCTTTTGCCGTTGGTTCACCCTCCAATGGCCGCCGCGGCCAGCGCGCTGCGGCCGGCGCACCGCACTGATCCGATGGCAGGAGCCAGGTGCTTTTCCTGGTCTCCCATGGGGTGCAGGACCCAAGGACTTGGACCATCCTCCACTGCACTCCCTGGCCACAGCAGAGAGCTGGCCTGGAAAGAGGGGGCAACCAGGACAGGAATCTGGCGCCCCGACCGGGACTAGAACCCGGTGTGCCGGCGCCGCTAGGCGGAGGATTAGCCTAGTGAGCCGCGGCGCCGGCCAGTGTTTGTCTTTTTTTGTCACTACAACCCCATAGGCTGTAGATGTATTTGATATTTATAAGGTATCCAGTGTGTGAAGAAATTCTAGAGGGGTTGAGGATAAGAAGGCTCTCACATGAATTTTTAATAAAGATTCAAAAGCTACCTGTTTGGCATCAGACATGCCACTAGCAAGGAAGCTCCGAGTGGATATTTATGTGCCCGAGGGGATCCCAGAGCGTGGGAGTTGGTGCCCTTCCAGTGAGGCCCAGTCTGAACCATTTTGATATTTATAGTTACAACTCTGCTTCCCTGTTTTTCTTTTCAGCCGCTATTTAAATAAGGCTTTTCATATCTGGTCCAAGAAAGATAAATTCTCCCCCACTTTTATCAACAACATGATCTCTCACACTGGCACAGAGCATTCTGCACCAGCCTGGATGCTGCTCTCCAAGATCACCTGCTCATCACCCAAGCTGGACCACACCAAGATAATACAGTCCTGGGAGAAGATCAGCAGGTATGCATGTTTGTAATCCAGCCACTGCTGGGCACTACAAATTCTTGGAAACAAAGAAACAAAGATTATGGCTTAGCAAGGAATGTCTTATTTCTTTTTTTTTTTTTTTTTTTTTTTTTTTTGGCAGGCAGAGTGGACAGTGAGAAAGAGAGAGACAGAGAGAAAGGTCTTCCTTTGCCGTTGGTTCACCCTCCAATGGCCGCTGCAGTGGCCAGCGCACCGCGCCGATCTGATAGCAGGAGCCAGGTGCTTATCCTGGTCTCCCATGGGGTGCAGGGCCCAAGCACTTGGGCCATCCTCCACTGCACTGCCTGGCCACAGCAGAGCTGTACTGGAAGAGGGGCAACCAGGACAGAATCCGGCGCCCCGACCGGGACTAGAACCCGGCGTGCAGGCACCACAAGGTGGAGGATTAGCCTAGTGAGCCACGGCGCCGGCCTGGAATGTCTTATTTCTTAGCTCCTTGTGGACAGTGATCTTTTCTTTAAATTCTGACATAGACCTACAGTTACAATGCCACTTATCTGTATCCAATATCAGAATGTCTGGGTTCAAGTCCTGTTTGCACCCCCAGTTCCATCTTTCTGCTAACACACACCCTGGGAGGCAGCAGGTGACGATTCAAATAGTTAGGTCCCTGCCATTTACATGGGAAACTAGGATGGAGTTCCTTGTTCTTGGCTTCTTCCTAGCCCAGCCAGGAGATTCGCAGAGAGAACTAGTGAATGGGAGAGCTCGCTCTCTCTCTCTCTCTCTTTGCCTTTCAAACAAATAAAATGAATAAAAGAAAATTTTATAAATAAATAAAAAATAAATTCTGATCTGAAAAGAACCATGAGAAATAAGAATGACTTTTAAACTGGCAGCTCACCCTTTGTCCAGGTACAGGCGGTGCCTGCCTGTCCTCACAGTTGGTCCTAAGCCATGCTACCTACCCTGTTTCCTCCAGTGTTAATCATCCAGAAGAAACATGTTTGGCAGCAGTGTTTAATTTGCTTCTGTCCTGCTATTCCTCCTGCCCTTTCTCTAGTCAACAGAATCCCCGTGCAGACACCCTGGGACACATTCTGTGTGTTATTGGGCATATTGCAAAGCATCTTCCTAAGGGCACCCGGGACAAGGTTACAGGTGAGTGAGTGTCTGTTGCTGCCTAGTTCTTGAAAGGGCATTGCTGCTCACTTGACTTTTGTATAGTTAAGAAGCTAAGGTTCAAGGGTTTTGACTTCCTTCTTAGATGTCGTCAAATGCAAGCTGAATGGATTTCAGTGGTCTCTCGAGTTGATCAGTTCAGCTGTTGATACTTTGCAAAGGCTTTGTAGAGCCTCCTCAGAGACACTGGTGGAAGAGCAGGTAAGGCCACAAACCCTCCTTAATATGTTCTTACTTTATGTACCTAGATGTATGACTCTGTTTTGAAGTTTAAGGAGTATTCTCTAGGAACAGAGCACCTGTAAGAATATGTAGGCCCCAGCAGCTATTGCCACAACAAGGCATTACCTATGTGACTAACAGTTGACCTTTCCCAGGAAGATCTAGTTAATAACTTGGTTCACTTGGCTTAGTCACCACCTTGGTTCCAGGTTTAAGTGTCATTTAGTAAGGCATGCCTGTTGATTGACATTCATCTTCTGGTGAGAACTTGGCAAGGTTATCTGTCTTCCATGAGTTGTGGCCCAGACGCTTCTGAGACATGCAGATCCTTCATTTGCATCCTCATTCCAAGAACATTTAATAGGCAATTCTCTAGCATATCTGGAAGTTCCCTCAGACCTCAGAATTTCTGATCTTTTGATAAGTCATAATCCTGGAAACTGCGTGTCTTGTTACAATAGATTATATCATTCAACTGTTTTGGTATGTCCCCAGAGTTGCCCACTGCCTACAGCTAAGGCTCTTATCTAGGTGCATGAACACAAATCCAAATCAGTGAATTAGGTAAGACAATTACTGTGGCTCCAGGGAGGTTTCCATATCAGTATCTCTAACAGTTTCATTACCAGATACTCTGTTTTTATCATGAGATATACTCCTTTACAGTGCTGATGATAATGAAACAAATTTAGGGCTGGAGGTTATTAATAATGAATATGGAAATCAAAAATGAATTCAAATAATTTTTGTAATATATTTAAGTTTTCCATCTGAACTAAGTGGCTACTTTCTTGGCTTCCTTTTCTTATGGAGAAAGTCCCTTATTACATTTCTACTTGTAATTACAATGTATTTTAACTGTGAGGTTTGTGATTTACTGGCAAGTTGGCTGAGGTATTTCTCATGTATATGTGTCTGGTGTTTTCCTGGAATCTGCCTTTCAGCACTTTAACTGTTGAAAGGGATACTTGCATTTGATTTTTCTGTTTATCTCAGGATCCAAGAAATTATATGAAAAACTTGAAAAAAATGTTACTTAAAGTAGGAAACTACTTGAATATCATTGATCAATATTGGGAAACAAACAAGTATGATAGTGGTCCTATTAAAAATTAAGAAAGAATGATGTAAAGGATGATCAGGGAAGATTTACATGGCAGGTTATGATAAGCAGTTCCACAAGTTTCATGGCACCTAGCTTCCTGATGGCAGAGCCAGTGCTACAGCTAGGGTCTCAGAGTCCTCCCCCAGTGTGCCTTTCACCAGCAGTGTCTGGAAAGAGAATTAGCTCTATGGTGTGCCATCAGGGCCAGACATCATTTGATGCTTGCTGATGGCTCATTATCCTGAAAATAGTGAGTTATGCTATTATAGGGCCTGTGAAGAAGACAAAGTTGTCTTCACATTAGAAACAGAGCTAGGAAAGGAGTAAAACTTACTACCATGTTAGACAAATGGCCAAGATTTTAGCTCTTCCAATACTACCTGCCTCAGTGGTAGGCAATAGAATAAGGCTTTGGGATTTCCCAGAATCTTAGCATAGCATAAATCCATTTCACCCATTTATTTGCTCTAAAAACTTTTTTTCCCTCTGTAATAGAATATTCTGTATTTAACTGAGAATAAGGAAATACTCAAAGAATAGATTATTATAAGTCAGTTGCAGTATCCATGAAGACTTGGGTCTTTGGATATTTTTGTCTTATATAAGCTTGATGTAGGTAGTGTTTTTTGTCAGTCATTAAGATATTGATGCGAGCTTAGACTGTGTTAATAGAAATAGTGTGTAGAATAAGAATGGTGATGGTCCTGATAATGTCATGGTTAAATCTAAGTTGAGATGTTCTCATAATTCAACTTCAGTGAGAACTTCTGAGGGAAATTTTGAATACATCTGCAGGAAAGTAATTGGATGAAGGGATTACAAAGCAAGTTATATAAGGTCCTGGGGTGTTTATAAAGAAGGGAAATGGCATGGAATAGGGAGCTCAGCTAAATTCAAATATATGGAGGACTTTCACCGAGAAGAATTGAATGTATTTGATATTCCCAGGAACCAGTCTATACCTCAAGCAGGAATTATAAGGAAGCATATTCTGGCCACCTGAAGAAAAAAATATCCTGAGATGTGCCTGAAATAGAGGGGCTTGCTCAGCATACACCCCTAGTAATTGGAAGTGCTCAGTAGAAGTTGACACTTCCTTGTGGAAGTGTGGCAAGAGTGCCAACACTGGATTATTGGACTGCTTTTGTGGATGTTGTGGTTCTGAGAGTTACCAGTCACACTGCTCAAGTTCTCCTCTTGAGCTCTACCACAAGTTGATTTTGTCTTCTCATCAGGGAAATGCATAGGAATTTCAGAAGTTCCTAGCCAACAGGTTATATAGTTTATTGCTTACAACAGAATTTTATTATAGATTTTGCAATCTAAAGTACAATAGTTCTTTTGAAAGTGATTGTTTTGATACATTTTAAGCTGAGTCAGACTGAAATATATGCTGCTGTTAGTGGTTTGGCAACATTGCTTAGGTGCTGTGTTGGGGTAGTGCTACTGTTAGACACTGAATGAAGTTGATTCAGCGTTCCTTCCTAAGGCACCTACAGGGTAGTAGAGGAGATGTACACATAAATAAATATAACTTCAACATAATATGATCAGCCCTAAAGTAAATATATGAATACAGTAACAGTAAACTTCTGGAGTGAAAGCACTTAACTTAATCTGGGTGTTTAGGAACAACCTCTCAGAGGGAGTGAAGTTCTCCCTTGGGTAGTGGTGCAGTTAGATGTGGTGCACCAATCCATTAAAGGTATCGTAGCCAGTAACACACTGAAAACTTGCCTCTAAAGAATACAGTTCATAAGAATAACTACTGATCTCCCTGTTATGTCTTTTTAAAATCAAGTGTTTGTCACTGTAGTTAATCACCACCTACATGTGCCAGAAGAATTACAACTTTTTATGCAAATTGGAGGAATAGTGCTATTATGGATGTCTATAAACGAGGGCACTAGATCTTCGTAAATATTTGCTTTTTGCCATTATATGGCAGCTATAGGTGATGGATAGACTGTTCCTTATAAATTCCACTAAGCTAGTTCTTATGGCTAAATCGTTATTTAAAGATTTATTTATTTATTTAAAAGAGTTAACAGAGAGGGAGACACAGAGAGAGAAGTTTCCCATCTGCTGGTTCACTACCCAGATGGCTGCAAGAGCCAGGACTGGGCCAGGCCAAAGCCAGGAGCCAGGAGCTTCTTCCAGGTCTCCCACATGGGTGTCAGGGGCCCAAACACTTGAGCCATCTTCCACTGCTTTCCCAGGCGATTAGCAGGGAGCTACATCAGAAGTGGAGCTCCCAGCACGAACCGGTGGCCATATGGGAAGTTGGCATCACAGATGAAGGTTCTACCCACTAAGCCATAACACTGGCCCCTTATAGCTAGATTATTAAAAGTGTGTCACTGTGGTTTGGGAGAGTTTGCAGAAAGATGAAAGATACTCAAGCATGATGGCTGGTGCAGTTGGAGATCATAGCTTGTTATGAGAACACAGTGTTGGTGGGTACTGTGGGAGGTGTACTGGGCCCTTCAGAGATGATCTTTGGCTCGCCGTAGGACCTGCTAAAGCAAGTGTGTGGGGATGTGCTGTCTACCTGTGAGCACCACCTCTCCAACATTGTTTTGAAGGAACATGGAGCAGGGACTGTGGACGAAGACCTGTTGGTAAGCAGCTGCTTTTCCTAAGCATTCCTTCCTCTTCTTTCAGACCAATGGGAGTTTTTTAAAGATGATTTTTAATGTGCACTTCAAATGATACTAACAAGAAAAGAGCTCTCCTAGCCTAGAACTTAACTGCTTTTAGAAGAATCTCTTTTATTGATAACTTGTTCATTCTTTTTTTTTTTTTTTTTTTTTTTTTTTTTTTTTTTTGACAGGTAGAGTGGACAGTGAGAGAGAGAAACAGAGAGAAAGGTCTTCCTTTTGCCGTTGGTTCACCCTCCAATGGCCGCCACGGCCGGCGCGCTGTGGCCGGCGCACTGCGCTGATCCAAAGCCAGGAGCCAGGTGTTTTTCCTGGTCTCCCATGCGGGTGCAGGGGCCAAGGACCTGGGCCATCTTCCACTGCACTCCCGGGCCACAGCAGAGAGCTGGCCTGGAAGAGGGGCAACCGGGACAGAATCCAGTGCCCCGACCGGGACTAGAACCTGGTGTGCCGGCGACGCAGGCAGAGGATTAGCCTATTGAGCCGCAGCGCCAGCCAACTTGTTCATTCTTTTTATTGTATACTTATTATATGGAGGAAAATTTGATGATATATACTTATCCAGTTAGATTTTATTTATTAGAAAGCTGGAATTACAGAAAGAAGGAAGAGACAGCGAGATCTTCCATCTACTGGTTCACTTCCCAAGTGACCACACAGCCAGGGCTGATGTAGGCTGAAGCTAAGAGCTTCATCCAGGTCTCCCATGTTGGTGGCAGGAGCCCAGACAATTGGACCATCTTCTGCTGCTTTTCCCAGCCCATTAGCCCAGAGCTGGATCACTAGTGCAGCAACCAGGACAGAAACCAGTACCCATATGGGATCCTGGCATCGCTGCCGGCCCCTATGAGAAATATTATTACAATAGGAAAAACAAAATATGTGTTTTAAGCTGGTAGAGTCAAGTTTAGAAATAATAAGGTAGAAAAATAATAAATTGTGTATGTTCTTTTGGATTGTTTTGGTTTTTCAAGATGCTGTAACATGTCTTCTTAGCTGTTTGAACATCAGAACTTGGAAATGGAGAATAGCTGTAAAGTAATGTCTAAAAGAAAATGAGAGACTTGACAGTTCAAAGCACAGATGCCCTTGGAGCAGCAAGACTGTCATATATGGCACCCCTACTTTAGAAATGGTTTCCATGTAAGAGACTTCTGGGATCCAGTCATGTCCAACCAGTTGGCCAATTTCAGTGGCTGTGTTTTGGTAAATCTGATTCCATCATCTGGTGCTATACAATAAAAAGATAAGCTGCCTCTGATTCTCTTCAGTATAAGCCATCATTTAAACAGTCGTCCATTTCTCACGTCTATTAAAATAAGTAGAGTCTTTCTTTTCTGTGTTCAGTTCCTGTTTTGCCAGCCTAGCTCTTACAGTTCTGAGTGATTTCAGATCAGGTGTAAATGTGTAGAAGGAAAAGACCACTGTGCCACACGGTCATTACAGGAACACTTGTGTTACAAGTACCATGATGTGTAGTGTGTAGCGTGGATGTGACTTAGGATTCTAGAAGGTCTTACTCTTCTCATTCATTTGGGCAGTCACTGCCCTCATTGAGGAAAATGTTTCTCCTGACCAGTGAGTTTTCCCTCCTCAGATGTTGTTTGAAATGTTAAATATTTCACTCAAAACACAAATGGACGAGTTTGACCCTAGGTGTTGTGCTTATTTCAGTAGAATTGAAATGTTTATTTAATCCATTAAGAGATACAGGATGTTCAAGATTGTTTAAACCCACGTGTATTTATTGGCTTTCTTGTCTTATAAACTTTCATTTGACATATTTCTGTTCAGTATCACCCCTCCATTTTTGAGGTAAACAAAACATCACTGTGAAATTAAATGCCATTGATAAACACATGGTAGCAGTGGCTTAGGGAGCAGGTGTTTGTGTTTGTGCTGGGTAGGGGTTCTGGATAGTAAATAATCTGGAGAAAAATTTGGAAATATGTTTTCAAATATACCGTCACCCTGGATTTCACATATGAGGAAATTGAACAGTATTCACAGTTACAAAGGGGTTCCCCAGAGCTAATATAAACAATAAGAAAGGGTTAGGTAAATGTCCATTGGTAGTAGATTGGTGAAATAAATTATAATGATGTCTGTCATTTTTAAATGGCATACTTACTGCACCTGCTTGTTGGATATATTGACATGAAAAATACCAAATATACAAAGTAATAATTGGAACGTCAAAATAATATGATTGGTAAATGTTTAGAAAAAGCAAGTATAAAGCTATGTGATTATAATATAGAAATGTTTGAAAAGGAAGTAATACAGAAAAGTAGTGTTACCATCTTTGGGTAATGGGATTATAAGTAGATGATTCAATGTCCCAGATTACCCAAGGCAATTCTGGCTTGCACTGTTATAACGTCATTGTTAATAACAGCAACCCCTTTTATCTGTGGAAGTGTCTGGGTTTAGATGAAAAAGTTATATCTCATTCTAGTTTTGAGTTTCATTAAGTAGTGATTGAATTTATTTATTTTTTTAAAGATTTATTTGAAAAACAGAGTTACACAGAGAGGAGAGGCAGAGAGAGAGAGGTCTTCCATCCACTGCTTCACTCCCCAGTTTGCCGCAGCGGCTGGAGCTACGCTGATCCTAAGTCAGGAGACAGGAGCTTCTTCCGGGTCTCACACATGGGTGCAGGGACACAAGGACTTGGTGCATCTTCTACTGCTTTCCCAGGCCATAGCAGAGAGCTGGATCAGAAGTGGAGCAGCTGGGACTCAAACTGGCGCCCATATGGGATGCAGGCACTGCAGGCGGCAGCCTTAACCACTACGCCACAGCGCCAGCCCCAGATTTTTGCAATGGCCATATGTTTATGAAACAACAGAAAAAAATTTTTTTAACTTGGAGGCCAAAATGTATGCCTTTGACATGTTCTTGGTCTAGCAAGTATTCATTTTTCTTTTGCCTTGTTTTTATTGTGAAACCGTTTCTCATTATAGGTGAAGTACATTTTTACCTTAGGGGATATAGCCCAGCTGTGTCCTGCCAGTGTGGAGAAGCGAGTCTTCCTTCTGATTCAGTCCATCCTGGCCTCCTCTGCTGATACAGATCACGGTGAGGCCTTGAAATCATACTCTCTACAGGGGTGTTGTGAGACTGCAGTCACTGCTGAGAGACCATCAATAAATCTTTCTCCTTTCCCATGCCACAGCCAGCCAGCCACCCTCCCAAGTCAGAGGCTCTGTCATGCCGTCTGTGATTAGAGCACATGCTGTCATCACCTTAGGTAAGACTAATGTGGGGTTACGCATTCTGGTTCCATGGGTAGCTCTTTTCCTGAACAATTCCAGCCATGTCAGTGTGGTGTGCACTGCCATGCTTACGCTTTGTCCAACTCTTACTCCACAAGCTCTGCAGGCCTAACAGAGACCCAAGACCAGGAGACTCAGAAGGCTCTTCATGAGGAGCTGTTGTTCTAGTAGGATTATGTTAATTTGTTACAAATATATCTGTTCCTGTGACTTTTTATGCTCATAATATAGCACCATGAAGTCTGTTTATCAAAACAGTATTCTAGGTACTTCGCTGAGTTCTGGGAATGAAAAATAAATTTGAAGTTGTTTTATAAAAGGAGATGGTTTATTTAATACTTTCTAGAATTGGTAGATGAACTCATGAACTCAGATTGCTCCTAGAAACATTGACCTCTGCTATAATTTGAACTGTTTTTGTTTTCCCTTAGTTTGGCTGAATACTTTTTGTCAGAGAAGAGTTATGAATGTTTTTTCTAATAATAGTTATTTTTCAGATATCTAAGAATTGAGAATAAGAGCAAAACTTACTCAGACCACAAAACAAACATAAACAAATAAAACTCAACAGCCCTCCTATAACTATGAACAACATCAAATAAATGAGATGAGCATTTTTTCCTACTTATCTAGCTTAAACTTCAAATTCATTAAAGATACTTAGCTCCCTGGAGTATATGTATAACCAGAAGTAAAATGTATCACCTGTTAGGCCTTGTTAGTCATTTTCCAGGTAAATAGGTAAATGCAGCATCCCAATGTTGACTTTTAAAAGAAGGTAGTTTTATTAATGTAAAGACTATCCCATAACATGCAGCTTATGAAACCCCTGATATAACTTATTTTTCCTTAAGGTATTTTGAACTTTCTAATATTTAAGATGGGTCCTTCTGCCTTTAATTTCTGGTCTGTGACAGTGGACATGATCTCTTAACTTGGCTTAAATATGATCCATAGCAAGATAAACCTGGAGAAAATTTAGGCATGGAGTTAGGATACAGCAGAATCAAGACAGCATCCTGTCTTCTGTAACAGGGAAACTGTGCCTGCAGCACGAGGACCTTGCCAAAAAGAGCATCCCAGCCCTTGTCCGAGAGCTTGAGGTTTGTGAAGATGTGGCTGTCCGCAACAACGTCATCATTGTCATGTGTGATCTCTGCATCCGGTACACTGTCATGGTGGACAAGTATATTCCTAACATCGCCATGTGTCTGAAGGACCCAGACCCTTTCATCCGAAAGCAGACACTCATCTTGCTCACCAACCTCTTGCAGGTACGGAGTGAGTTAGACCTCTCCTCCTTCTTCTCCACCGTTGCTTTTTATTTGAGGGAATATTTGGGTAGCATAAGAAATGTGCTTGCTTTGTAGTAGAATCCACAAATAATTAGCCTCATCTCTGGTTTAGAGTACCACTCTTCTAATGTTCAGTGCAACCTTTTAAACAGATCATTACTTATGGATATTGGTTTTAAGTGTTTGTTCACACATCCTGTCAAGCAGTATGAAATTTTGATTTTGCAGATCAGTGCCATGTAGAGAAAAAAACATTAGGCAGTTGCAGTTCAGTCATTCTCCTGACCTTGGAAAAGTTCATGTTTCTCATACTTAATTTCTTAATTATAAAATGTTTGTGCTGGGTTCTCTCACAGTGTCAAATGTGTGGAAGAGCTCAGTGGACTATAATGTTCTATAGAGCATTAGATTTTTTTTTTATGCATTGAGAAGAAAGTCATTTTATTTAAGAAAGCATTTGACCTGGTTGTACATCTACTCTCACATGGTTTACATGCTCCTCTTCCCATGCAGTGCGCACCTTGCGGAGTGCCAGTGGCTCTCTCCCTGGGAAGCCACGTGCTTTCAGTCTGTTCTACCCTCCTGCTCCTCTGCACCTCTTTGTAATATATGGTGGGTGCTTTCAAGATGAGGGGGAACGAGTGCTAATGTCTGTGCTCACGTGCCCACAGACCCATAGCTGGCAGGTGTGATGTCACACACAGGAACATCAACAGGTGCTTGTGTGATCAGATACATCGGAGGTTTATGTGTTGAAATTTGTCCTGAAATATGCCGGTTTCTCTTTGTACAGGAAGAGTTTGTGAAATGGAAGGGCTCTCTGTTCTTTCGATTTGTCAGTACTTTGATAGATTCACACCCAGACATTGCCAGGTAAGTCTTTCCCTCACATATTGGACAGTTGAGCAGTTTACCTGATTTCTGGTATTCACTAGGTTTCTGTCGTGTTGGCTTAGAGTTCATATATTTAGGATTTAGTGAGCTTTTGGTAGCTGCCAGGAAAATGAGCTGCTTTTTGAAATGCTAAACTATACTAGGAAAACAGCTTTATTTGTTATACACATTAAAAAAGTGAACATGTCCAGATTCATCATGAAATAACCTTGGTATTGGTTGCATTTGCAAATGTTGTATGCTCTTGCTAAAGGAGTAGGGAAGAATAGCACCTGCCTTTATCCTATTAAACTATATAGAAAATTTGGCATCAACTATTGAGTTAACTCAGGTGATTTCTAGTCTCCAAAAATGTGAGGTTTATTTATTTTTATTTTTTGACAGGCAGAGTGGACAGTGAGAGAGAGAGATAGAGAGAAAGGTCTTCCTTGGTTCACCCCACAATGGCCGCTGCAGCTGGCGTGCTGCAGCCGGTGCATCACGCTGATCTGTAGCCAGGAGCCAGGTGTTTCTCCTGGTCTCCCTTGCAGGTGCAGGGCCCCAGCACTTGGGGCATCCTCTACTCCACTCCCGGGCCATAGCAGAGAGCTGGACAGGAAGAGGAGCAACCAGAACAGAATCTGGCGCCCCGACTGGGACTAGAACCCGGGGTGCTGGCACCGCAGGCGGAGGATTAGCCTTTCGAGCCACAGCGCCAGCCAAAATGTGAGTTTTGATAAAGAGTTCAGACTTTAAGTACAGAAATTGTAATGGAGAAATTCGAGGAATGAAGACAGGATTACACAGTGTGAAACGGAGTGTACAGCTCACAAGGCTCCCTGAGAATTGGGGGGATGGGAGTAACGTGGCCAATTGTCGATTCCTGTTCCTCTATCATTTTTTAAAAGATTGTGCCACCCTAGATTGTATGAATAATTTTTCTTTATGCAAGTCTGCAGTTGGACAATGGCATGTTGAATGCCATGGTGAAAGCCACCTCAGTGGGGAAAGGCCTTCATACTTTATAGTTCACTCACTATAAATAGCTTATAATAATAGGTGCCTCTGATTCTAAATATTGTCACTAGTAATTAGTCTGAGTTCCATGGAAGAGTTTCTGCTTGGTTTTCTTTGGGTGTAATTTTCCAAGGAGGAACATTTCACATAATAAACTAGCGGAAGGTTAATGTTCTAATTAATACTCTGTAGAACCAGAAGCAGAAAGCTCAGGCTAAAGCGCTTTCTTCCTCTTTGTATAATTGGGAAGGGAACCAAGTTGCTTTACCGCATGCTCCTACCTATACATTGGCTTCATAATACTTACTCATGACTGGTTCTGTACTGTGCCTAGATGTTTAGGCCAAAAGCCAGGCCCATCTGTTTATATTACATATATTAATTTTCCCTGTGTATTTGGTAATAGTAGTCTTATGAAGAAGCTATAGTGACAGAGCTTTTTGAATTTTTTTTTGTAAAGATTCATTTATTTATTTGAAAGGCAGTTACAGAGAGGAAGAGGCAGAGAGAGAGAGAGAGAGAGGTCTTCCATCCAATAGTTCACTCCCCAATTGGCAGCAACAGCTGGGACTGGGCCGATCAGAAGCCAGGAGCCAGGAGCTTCCTCCGGGTCTCCCAAATGGGTGAAGGGGCCCAAGGACTTGATATCCTCCACTGCTTTTCCAGGCCATAACAGAGAGCTGGATTGGAAGTGGAGCAGCTGGGTCTTGAACCGGCGCCCATATGGGATGCCAGCATTGCAGGTGGCAGCTTTACCCACTACGCCACAGTACCAGCCCCTTGAATTTATTATTGTGTCCAACTAGATTTCTCAAAGATTCTGGGATGAGCAAATTTACATTGCACTTTTAACTGGTCACTGAAATTTGGGGCCTGCAGTACTGCATGATACATTTTCCCCTCTGCCCACTAGGTGGTGGCCTTGTAGAGTAGTAATCATTACAAGATGATAGCAAAGTAGCAAGCAAATGTTGCAGAAGTGCAAGAACACAGAGGCCAGAGAGTTTCCAGACAAGAAAGCGACTAAAATAATGGACTACAGAGATAGAAAAGGGAGAAAAGACAAACATGACTTGATTTGGAAGCCAAGTAAGTACTCAGGTATCTGGAGAGCTCTGTGATATTACAGAACAGCTGGGGAGGATGAGGGAGTCAGCTGGACAGCAAGGCAGCCTGTTCTCTCGGCTGTTTGAATGGCAGTGCAGTGACACAGACCACGACGTGATTGCGGAGTGTGGCACAGAGTACACAGTGGATGAAACTGAACATAACAACACCAGACCTACAATGAGGGTGTCAGATGAGCTCTCCTTTCGATACTGAAGACACTCCTGAAATGGAGAAGGAAACAGGAACCAGACCTCAGGGAGGGGCGGGAGCCGACAAGAGAGGCCGACTGCAGCAGCTGAACCGGATGGAGGAGCCGTGTGGGAACCAGGAGCCAGCCCTCTCCCCTCCTTCCCTGCCCCCTCCCTCAGCTGTCTTTTCCTTGGAACACTTGGCCACACACTTTGTATTGTACTTGTAGCAGCTGTCTACCCACTAGAGCACAGTAGATGGTCTGAAGACAAGGAAAGAAGAAACAGCAATGTAGAGAAGCCAAATGACAAGAAAACAAGGATATGGAAAGTCACTTGCTGCAGTTTCAGTTGGAATTCTGGGAGAAATGGTGCTGGGCCCCAGTCCTAACCTGAAGTAGATTGATGTTTTTGGCCAAATCAAGAGTAGGAAGCCATTAATAGTGGCTTTCCTAGAACAAACATTTGCTCAGAATGGTACCTGGCTCAGGAAGAAATCTGAAGGAATTCAGTTTTGTTTTTTTTGTTTTAGTTTTTAAGATTTTTTTTTATTTATTTATTTGAAAGGCACAGTAACAGAGAGGTAGAGACATAGAGAGAGTTTCCATCCACTGGTTCACTCCCAAAATGGGCACAACAGCTAGGGCTGGGCTGGGCGAAAACCAGGGGCCTGGAACTCCATCCAGGTTTCCCATGTGGGTGGCAGGGGCCCAGGTGCTTGGGCTGTCTTCCACTGCCTTCCTATATATATTATCAGGGAGCTGAATAGGAAATGGAACAGCTGGGACTCAATCCCAGTGTTGCAGATGGCAGCTTCACCTACTATGCCTCAGTATTGGCCCCAGAAAACCTGATTTTTATATTTGCTACTAAAACTGAGAACATAAGTAAACAGACTGCATTTCCTTTGTGGCCTCATTGGGCTGTTTGGATCCCTGGTTTCAGTTCTTAGTAAGAGATAATCATTTCCTTTTACGAGGTTATTACGCAGACTGAGTTGTTTTCCATGCAACGCAGTTACTGTGTCAGACCTCTAGGTGATGTCCCGCAGTCGCTGGTGTGATTCCTCCTGGTCCTGTGGACTCCCCCTGAAGAGTGAGGAGCGGCTGAGAAGGAGGCAGACCAACCCCTTTGATTACTGAGGTTTCTTAAGAGTCAGTGATGTTTTCAGATCTAGATTTTGGAGAGGTGCCACTTTCTGTTGCTCTAAAGGAATGTTCTGGGTGGCGGTGCTTGGAATGTTAATTTTTTTTAACTTTTTAGAAGGTAAGCAAAAATAAAATAGTCATCAGGTTCATAGGATCTGTAAGTCCCATCTGATCAAGGTTGAAACTTGCCCTTTAATGAAGCCCCAGTAAACGCAGTAGCAAGGTTAGGCCTGGCCAGCACTCACTGAATGGTTTCAGGGATCTTGTGATAGACTGCTCCATGACTCTGCTTTCCTTCTGAGCATAAGAACCCTGGCACAGTTGTTGATACAGTTGAATTCCTTTGTATAGTTGCTTAGGCCAGTTTTTCAGTAGGACATGGATTCTGCAATATTCTCCCACCCGTATGAATTCTCAACCTAAACTCTGAGTAGACTGGTATATGACACCAAGTCCTGCCTTCACACTGTTGGGTGCATGACTTCAAGTCTGAGGAGGAAGTTCAGGGTAATGTGGAAACTGCTATTCCATGGCAGGTTTACTATGAGAAAATCCACAGAGGGGACATACTTATCATTTGCTATTATTATTTTTACATCTTTATTTCCCTTTATTTGAAAGGCAGAAAGAGAAAGTGACCGAGAGATCTCCCATCCACTGGTTCACTCCCCAATGCCCAGGCTGGACCAGGTCCAAAGCCAGGAGCTCAGAACTCCATCCAGGTCTCCCACATGGGTGGAAGGGACTCAAGTTCTTGAGCCGTCACTACTGCCTCCTAGGGTGCACATTAACAGGAAGCTGGATCAGAAGTGGAGGAGCCAGGACTCAAATCCAGGCACTCCAATACAGAAGGCATCTTAGCCATTGTGCTAAATGCCTGCCCTGGGAGATGATTTTTTTATTTGCTTAGTGGTTTTCTCCCTTCTCATAGAGGGTTTCCCAAAGTAACGCTTGTTTAGAAAGAACTTCATCTCGTGTCTGACCTTTGCCTTTCAAAGCACATCACTGAATAATGCAGTTTGCACAGAACACACTGATTACTCAGATCAAACAGGTGCCCTGTGCCATCCTTAATAAACTCCACAAGGAACAGCCTTTATTAATTAGAATTGTATTTTCTTTGTTTGCATATTTATAAGTCAGGCTGCTTCCCTGTTTACTGAATGAATATCAAAATGTGATCATCTGCCATGGGATTTTTTTTTAATTAATTTATTTATTTGAAAGTTGGAGTTACACAGAGAGAGAGAGAGAGAGAGGTCTTCCATCCGCTGCTTCACTCCCCAACTGGCCACAACAGCTGGAGCTGCGCTGATCCGAAGCCAGGCGCCAGGAGCTTCTTCCAGGTCTCCCATGCGGGTGCAGGGGCCCAAGAACTTGAACCACCTTCTACTGCTTTCCCAGGACATAGCAGAGAGCTGGATTGGAAGTGGAGCAGCCAGGTCTTGAACTGGTGCCCATATGGGATGCTGGCACTTCAGTCAGGGCATTAACCAGCTGTGCCACAGCGCTGGCCCTGCTATGGGATTTTTATCTAGGCTTCCTTCCATCGTGATATGACATGTTGCCGTGAATAGATTAGTGTGAATCTTAACCAAAGAACACCATTAGGAGAGGCTCAATCCTAGTCCTAGTGCAAAGTCCTAGCATTTCAAAGCCACGTGCACACCATTTAGATTGTCCTTGTCAACATTCCTGTCCTGTGGAGGGCTGACTGGTACTCCTGGTGCGAATTACCTCTGAGCTCTGCAATGAGATTAAGATACTGTTCTCTGTGGCTTGGATGGATCATCCCCAGCCTTGCAGTAGCTCATGTGACCCACAAGCCAATCCAATGCCTTAGCCTTCTCATTGTCACAGTAAAACAGAAGCCAGCAGGCAGTCAGGCTTTTGTCTGTTTATATTTGGCTTTGGAAACATGTTAGAATTTTTCCCTTCATCTTGGTGTGCTCCTAGGGGTCTGTGTACCACAGAGGGTATTGGACGGATATGTAGAGAACCCCTTCCAGGTTTGGGGGTGCAGATAGAAGGATAGTGCCCAGGGTTTGCTGTTGATGGAAAATCAGGGAAAGTCAGTCACTGCAGAGGGGACTTGCCCCTTGCATCCAACAGCTGACATTCTTATCACTAATCCCTCGGTTTCCATTACTAGAATTGTTCTTTGTTAGTGATTGTGGAGAATGGAGACCAGGTGTTCTTTTTAAGGTGACCCTGGTCACTTGATCAGCCTTGAGACCTCCGTTGAGAAGCAGCAGTTTAGAATAGGCTGGTTGGTTATTTTTTTCTTACAGCTGAAACTGGATAATAGCACCTTGGTAGAATCTAGAAATGAAACCTTATAGAGAAAGCTTTTACATTGACCTTGGATGCCAAAGGAAGCTATTGTGCAGGCACAGACGAAAGAAGCCAAATCTCCCTTGCTTCTTATCTCATCGTGGTGTTTATTGGGATGGGCTTAGAAACTCTTACCCGTATTTATAGTGTAGTTCTCTCTCTCTCTCTCCCTTTTTTTTTTTTTTTTTTTTTGTTATTTATTTGAAAGGTAGAGAGACAGAGATCTTCCATCTGCTGGTTCACTTATTTCTCAAATGCCAGCAACAGCCAGGGCTGGACCAGGTGAAAGCCAGCAGTCAGAAACTGCATTTGGATCTCCCACATTGGTGACAGGGACCCAGGTACTTGAGCCATCGCTGCTGCCTCCCAGACGCACATTAGCAGGAAGCTGGTTGAGAAGCAGAAGTGGGACTCCATCCCAGGCACTGAGATATGCATGCAGGCAGTTAACCCATTATGCCACAGTGCCCATCCCAAGTCCTCTTCTGTTTGGCAGAGTTCGTGGTATGATTGCAGAGGTCGACTACGGGTAGCAAATCTGTCTCTTTCTTTTGTTTTCTTCTTTGCAGCTTTGGAGAGTTTTGCCTGGCTCACCTGTTGCTGAAGAGGAATCCTGTCATGTTCTTCCAGCACTTCATTGAGTGCATCTTCCACTTCAACAACTATGAGAAGCATGAGAAGTATAACAAATTCTCCCAGTCAGAGAGGTCAGTGGAGCAGCCGTGGTCGTCGCTGTGGCATGTGCAGGTGTTGGACACAAACCCTGAGCCAGGTGTTTGTGGTGGTGGTCGTCACTTCCTTGGCAGAGTGACATAAGAAAATTCCAGCCTAAGACCCCATTGCTGAGAGAAATCTCGTGGTGCACATTGGAATCTCGTCAGTGCACTGGGGAATTTGGCATACAGCTTTTAGGATGCTGTGGAAGTACTGCATTGAATCCTTGTCACCTGTGCCCGCGTAACGTGGTAAATTGTTCTGTTCTGCCACAGAGAGAAGCGGCTGTTTTCACTGAAGGGAAAAGCAAACAAAGAGAAACGAATGAAAATCTACAAGTTTCTTCTGGAATACTTCACAGATGAACAGCGATTCAACATCACTTCCAAAATCTGCCTTAGTATTTTGGGTAGGCCTGATGTGTTTGGAGTAAAGTGTGTTTTGAAACCTCTGCTGTGTTGATGATACACCAGCAGGTCTGCAGCAAGGGGTGTCCCAGTGCTGCAGGGATACCTGTCTTCTGTCCTTTGGCACCTGCTGTGCCCCATGCAGACCCCTGGCAGCCCCACATGGCCCACAGTTCTGGGATTTGGGGTTTGCCCTGCCCCCCAGGGGCTGGTGTGCCCCCCAGGCTGATCCTCTTCTCTTCCTCTCAGCGTGCTTTGCCGACGGTGTCCTCCCTCTGGACATGGAAGCCAGTGAGCTGCTCTCAGATACATTTGAGGTCCTCAGCTCCAAGGAAATCAAGCTTCTGGCCATGAGGTCTAAACCAGATAAGGACCTGCTTATGGAAGAAGATGACATGGCTCTGGCGAATGCCGTCATGCAGGAGGCCCAGAAAAAGCTCATCTCCCAAGTGAGTGTTGCTCTTCTTGAGGAGCCCTGGCACTGGCTTCTCCACACTGCACCTCTCGGTGCTGTGCCCGAGGCCCTGTGTTCACCCGAACCTTTGGCTTTAGCTCTCTCCTGTGTGCTGCTGATTCTTAACCTGTTTGGAGTTCCAGCTTTTTGTGAACCTGAACCCAGTTCCCCTTGCTGGCCTTGACATGCCAAGGTGTCTCACTCTTATCATCAAAACAGAACCAATCGTCTCATTTTCCTGTGCTGTGTCTCTTTTCACACAATCCATTGTCCACCAGTTTATCCAGGGAGCCTGGTGCTTCCCCAGGTGGAGGCTGGCATGCCAGGCACATGCTCTTTTGGCCAGCGAGTGTGAGGTTTGAGTTGGAATGACTTTGGGCAGGAGCCTGGTTGCCACAGTCCTCGACAGGCCCATGTTCTTGTGCTTGGCCTCCATTGCCAATCTGAATTTCCCACCTGACCCCTTATGACTTTTGACCCAAAGAAATAGCCTTTTGTCAAATCCAGTTTGCCATGGGGTCCTACCTGTTTGGTCTGACCCTGTTTGGTCCTGCCTGTGTGGTCTGGCTTTATCTAAGTCTGTGCCATCTCCAAGTGTTTCCTTAGCACCCTTTCTGTCTCTAGTTTTTTCCTGCTGTGGGCTGTGCATTACCTTGCTCTCAGAACAGTATTTTTTTCAATACAGATTTGCTCATTTTAGTCCCCTGCTTAAAGTAGGCTAGAGGCAGATTGATCACGATGGGTGGCAAGGAACGTGTTAGTATGACTGTGAGTGCTGTGTGGTGCTGGTAACTTTGTGTACACTTTGATGAAAATCACAGAACTGTTTGCTTAAAATTGGTAAGTTTATCATATATAAGTTAGACGTCACTGGTGAAATCTTTAAAGACTGCATTGGTGACTCCCTGTCATCTTTGAATTCTCTGATTCTCCTTCAGGGTGTACAGAACTTAGTGTGCCTGCCCTCGCCCCATCCAGTATCCTGCCTCCTGGCCTGGCTATGTCTCCAGCCCTCAGCTGTGGACATACTTGCCTTTTTCTGTGCCCTTACACTGCATCTCTGCAGCAGCCTCGCTTTCTCATCTGATCCCTCTACACCCCAAGGGTCATCTTTTTTTTTTTTTTTTAATTTTTTATTTATTTATTTTTTGACAGGCAGAGTGGACAGTGAGAGAGAGAGAGACAGAGAGAAAGGTCTTCCTTTGCCGTTGGTTCACCCTCCGATGGCCACCGCGGCCGGCGCACCGCGCCAATCCGATGGTAGGAGCCAGGTGCTTCTCCTGGTCTCCCATGGGGTGCAGGGCCCAAGTACTTGGGCCATCCTCCACTGCACTCCCAGGCCACAGCAGAGAGCTGGCCTGGAAGAGGAGCAACCGGGACAGAATCTGGCGCCCCGACCGGGACTAGAACCCGGTGTGCCGGCGCCGCAAGGCGGAGGATTAGCGTAGTGAGCCACGGCGCCAGCCTCCCAAGGATCATCTTGCCCAAGAAGCCTCCAGTGCTCCTTCCTGGCTCCCCCTTCTGTCCTACGCAGCCATCCTCCATCTACAGGGCCTTAACTCCTTGCTACTAACAGGGACATACCCCTGCTGGTCAGGATTCCTTGCTTCACCCCTTCCTTCCCACGGGTCACCTCTGTTTGGTCTAGAGAAGCAGTATGAAACTTGTTGGTGAATGCAGTTAGGCTGCTTTGTAAGAATACTCGTGCCCTCAGATTCAGATTTATGAAATCGTTTATTTGTCTACCTGTGTCCATCCCTTTCTAGGAACTCTCATAAGCCTGTAGAAATGACTGGTTTACAGGTCAGACACTGGTGGCTTTAAATAAGAAAGAGGCTGTGCAAGTTCAGAAGAGTGGATATGGAGGCTACTGTAATGAGGATGTTTTTAAATTTTTATTTAATTGTATTTGTTTGAAAAGCAAAGAGACACACACACAACAGAAAGACAGGGAGAGATCTTCCAAACCACATGGGAGGCAAGGACTCAAACACTGGAACCATCACTGGTACATTAGGAGGAAGCTGTATCAGAAGCTGACCTGGGACTTGAACCCAGGCACTCCCAAACGGGATGTGCGATGGCCCTCCCAGGCAGCATCGTAACCACTACTACATGTGCACCACATATAATGAGTTATTTTTAATTCTGAGAGGTTTGTTATGAAATGTTTATGATTAGTGATCCTTGAAGTTACACACTCTGAGGACTTGATTAAATCAGGTAATTCTGTGTAAATCTGGAGCACTGTGTGGGTTGGTATACAGCTGCATAAATGTAGAACAAGGAGAAAGGGAGAGAGATGAGCCAAACCAACTGCCTTCATGCTCAGCCATTTTTAGACCTTTATCATTTGCCCCATGGGAATATAAAGTGTTTTTTCAGTAGCCAGAGCGAGCCAGTTCTCATCCCAGAGGGGAGGGGATGGGATGGAGAAACTGGATGTGGAGCCAGAGCTCAGGGCCCATTATGGCTTCATGTGAAGATTTGGAGCTGCCTCTCAAGTTACTCAACACAGCTCTAACTCCCTTTCCTCACGTAGAAGATACGCCCAGTGTGTGCCCCCACCCTCCTTGGCTAGCTGTGCTCGCAAGGTCTCGTACAGCACTATGTTATGTACACCCCAAGCGTCTTAACCAAAGATTAGAAATAAACTGGGCGTGTGAGCTCGGCTGTGTGGAGAGAGCTGATGAAGGAAACTTGCTTGTCACTCTGAAGTCTACGCATCTAAAGCAGGCCTTTGTGTCACTGCAGGTTCAGAAGAGAAATTTCATAGAAAATATCATTCCAATTATCATCTCCCTGAAGACTGTGCTGGAGAAAAATAAGATCCCAGCTCTGCGGGAGCTCATGAACTATCTCAGGGTAAGTGAGGAGCAGACCACAGTCACCACTGCCCAGGCACCAGTCCTTTCCTTAGGGTCTCCTGTGAGTTATGATGCCACGGACAGTGTACAGTCAGGACTCACAGTGCATGTGGGTTTACTTAGCAATACCCAGGTCACACAGGCCTGTGGCGATTGTAGAGAGGATGGGGGGTCTGGCCAGAGGCTCCCCTAAAGCTGTCCTTTCCTCGCGTGGCAGAGTCTGTGACGAGCTGACTCGCTGTGCTGAGCAGGTGAGTCCTAGTGGGGTTGAATTCCATTTTGAAGACTTTCTCGACTGGGATCTGTGACAGAGTCATCATCTCAGCACTTCCTGTGAAGGGTATTGCAGTCCCAGATTGGCAAGCTCAGGGAGTCACTGCCCTGTCCTGTGACAGCATGTCTGGGGACTTGGGCACCAGCCACCAACCTGGGCAACACCATCCCTGGGCTGGAGATTCTATTATGCAATAGGAGAACCCCGAGAAGCTCCATGCAGGCAAAGCCATGGTGTGTTTACTCACAGTACAGACCTAAACAAGCCCTCAGATTTTTCTGGAAAAATCTTTCACCCAGAAATTATTCCAGCATTTTTTCCTTTAATTGAACGGAGTCATTTCTCTGTTCACATTATGCATTTTTCCTCTTGAAAGAATTTTCTTTTTCCAAAAATTGCTATAGCAAAATTGACATTGTATTGACATAGTATTTCAAATAGCTTTTATCCTAGGGAAGTTAAGGTGGGAAAGATAGGCTCACTGCATGGAAAAAATGAGAACTTTAGATTACTTTATATTTATTTTTTTTTTAATTTTTATTTGAAAGGCAGAAAGACAGGGACAGACAGGCGCAGAGAAAGAGAGAGATTTCCCATCTGCTGGTTCACCTACAACAGCCAGGATGGGCCAGGTCAAAGCCAGGATCCTAAAACTCAATCCAAGTCTCCCATGTGGGTGGCAGGGACCCAACTACTTGAGCCATCACTACTTCCTCCCAGGGGTGCACATTAGCAAGAAGCTAGAATCAGGAGCAGAACCAGACTCAAACCCAGGCACTCCAGTATAAGATGTGAACATCCTAAGCGTCATGTTAGCCACTGCCAAACGTACACCCCATTCTTACATTTTTATTGCCCTGTTTTAAGCCTCAGGGGAAAAAAAAGGCACTGAGAAGCTAATGAGACCACCTAAACACTTCAGACAAGCATACACCTATTTCTGATCACATCTGCAGAGGGTGCCCCAAAGGTGCTTTATGTCTGTGGCTGCCATGATTCTCTTCCTCCTCTGTGGAACCCACTCTTAGTAGCAGCTGAAAGGGAGGGTGGGTTTCCCTCCTCCCTCCCAGCTGGAGCAGCCGTGGATCCTTGTCTCCCTGCAATGCTGTTCTCTGCTGTGGTTTCTCTTAGGAGTGAGGCTGTGTCCCTGGAAGACCTGAGAATGTCTTACCCAGGTGGACCTAAATCTTCGCAGGAGGGCACAGAGATGGGACCCAGGCATGGCCATGGTCAATGGGGAGCCAGAGGGGGACACTAACCAAGACAGATGAGCACTCTCAGGCTGCACCATGTCCTGTAACACACCCAGGAACCTTGTCTAAGCCAGAACCGTGACTTTCCCCCAGGAGGCACTGGGAGGTTGGCCTGACGGGAAGCAGAGACGAGAAGCTTCCTAAGAGATCAGAGCTATTAGTGAAATCTCACAGCCTGTTCACTTGTTTCTGTGGTCCACGCTAAGAGCAGTTAGTGTTTCCTTGATGTGTTAACCTGTTAGTTACTGCAGTAGAAAGGCTGTCCTCAGAAATAGGAGTCTTATTTATAAAATAGGCTTGTTTTTCTACCCAAGGAAACATTAAAGGATGCTTCTGGTGTGTTGTAGGAGGTGATGCAGGATTACCGGGATGAAGTCAAGGACTTCTTCGCTGTTGACAAACAACTGGCATCAGAACTTGAGTACGACATGAAGAAGTACAACGAACAGCTAGCCCAAGAGCAAGAGCTGGCCAAACTGGCGGAGGCGACTAGGACCACAGACAGTGCCGACGGGGCGCAAGCAGTGCAGGTAGACAGGAGGCTTCCACCTTAAGCGTGACCAGGTCTCCAGTCTGCCCTCTGTGGCAAGAGTCAGACCTTATGCTGCCTGCTGGCCACGGCCCAGTTCCTTTGTTGCCTGTGATACCTTGAGGCCTGCCCTCCCCCAGGGCCGTGTCACAGGGACTCCCGGGGAAGTCTTGTGATAGGAATGTGGAGAAACTTACACATGCCCAGAGAGCAAGATGCCACCAGGGGGCAGAACTTCTGATGCCCAAGGCTGTGGACACCCAGGTCTCTTTGACGTGCTGAGTATTTGCAGTCTTTTCACCTCTTAGGGTACGGTGTCCCCTGGGGTCTTGCTGGGTTCCCTGCTCCCCACATTCACTGTGTTCTCCCTGCCCTGGGGATTCCAGACAGATCTGCTCTGTTAAAAAGAGAAGAGGACGAACTGCACTTCCCGTTGTTTTTAATGCTACATCTCGCAGGGCAGTTTTCTAGTAGTTCTCTGTTTCTGAAGAGAAAGTTCTGCTTGCCTAGGGCTGATGCGATATTAAGATACATTTTGTATGGACTTGCTCACAGCACATGACAATTCGATTCCTTTTCTCTTAACAGGCTGCTCCAGGCTTAGAAACGCCAGCTCCCCCTGGCCAAGAAAATCCTGCTGTGCTCCCTGCCGTGCGCCAGCCCTCAACTCCCTGGTCAAGCACTGGCCATGCACCAACCTTGCCTCCTACACAAGAAATGGGACCATTGAAAATGTTAATGCCCAAAGCCAGGTAGAGAGCTCAGTGTGGCAGCCAAGGACGGTTCTCCACTACCGTCCCCAGGATCTGCTGTCCCCGCCAGGCATCAGCACACCCTCCCTTAGAGGTCAAGGCACGTGCGGATGAGCCGTGCTCTGGGAAGGACATGGGAAGGCACGGTGGTGTCTGTGCTGCCTCTGCAGGGCCTGCACTGTGAACGTCCCCATGTGTGGCTTCTTGTTCTCCACAGGCCCATGTCCCTGAGCACCATTGCGATCTTGAATTCCGTCAAGAAAGCAGTGGAGTCAAAGAGCAGGCATCAGAGCCGGAGCCTGGGAGTTGTGCCTTTCGCTTTAAATTCTGAAAGCCTGGACAAAACAAGCAATCACGGTAAGCCTTTGGGTTGGCCCCAGACAGAGTGAGAGCTTACAAATAAAACAGGCTGCTACTTACTCCTTTTAAAATGGTTTCTGTTTTCCCATCTTTAAACAATATTAATTGAAGATTTAGGATTGTGGGTAATAAAGCAGTGTATATTTGTGCTAAGAGATTTGGCAAATGGAGCAAACTCCAGACCTCACCATGGCAGTGTTCCTACTGCACACACAGTTTTGTTTATACATTTACTTGTATCATTTATAAATAATCTGCTTCCCTGTGCACACAATAATAAGCAGTGAGTGAGATTTTCTCCATGAACTCTTCTTTCAGAACTTCCACTAGTGATTCTGTAGCATTCCATCCCGTGGAAGTCCCAAAGCATATTCATTACTGCCCTATTCTTGGAAATGAAGGGTTTTCTGATGTTTTGATATCCTGATTTTTCCCAGCCATCAAAGGTCATGAATATTTTAAAGGCTTGTGATAGGGGCCAGTGCTGTGGCCAGTGCTAAGCCTCTACCTGTGGTGGCAGCATCCCATATGGATGCTGGTTTGTGTCCTGGCTGCTCCTCTCCCAATTCAGCTCTCTACTTATGGCCTGGGAAAGCTGTGGAAGATGGCCCAAGTGTTTGGGCCCCTGCACCCGTGTGGGAGACCCAGAGGAGGCTCCTGGCTTCAGATAGGCTCAGCTCCAGCTGTTGCGGCCATTTGGGGTGTGAACCACCAGATAGAAGACCTTTCTCTCTGTCTCTCCCTCTCTCTATCTATAGCTCTACCTCTCAAAAAAATAAATAAAATCTGGGGAAAAAAAAAAAAGACTTGTGATAGCATCAGGCTATCCTCCATAGTTTACCCTGTTATATATTTATATTTTTAGTAGTAGTGTTAAAATCTTTCATATTTTTGGGGTTTTATTTGTTTGAGAGGCAGAGAAATAGAGAAAGAACTCTTATCTGTTGATTCATTCCAAAAATGCCGACAACAGCTGGGGAGTCAAGGTTGGGAGCCTGGAATTCAATCCGTGGTTCCCATACGAGTGGCAGGCAGTCAGTGATCTGCTGCCTCCCAGAGTCTTAACTGCTTTGTCACATGCGCACCCCTCCAAACTGTGTTCTTGATTATGGCTCACTAGTGTCCACTTCCTACTTAGAGGCACTGGCTTTATAATTTTGTCATGTCTGGACTGAGCTTTATAGCCCCACAATGGTATAGCTTTAATTTCCTGTTCTTTAGATCCTGGTGAGAATGGATTTTTTTCCCTTCATGTTTCTCATTCATTTGTATTTTTTTCTGAATTACTTCTTTATAAGAACACTTTAAATATTGGAGATTTTAACTTTATTGTCCATGTTATGTTGTTCTCATCTGGTTGTTTTGTTCCTTGGCATGTTGTGGGTTATTTGAACAGATCAAACCTTTGTGTTACATCCTAGCATCTTCATACAGTTTGGAGCAAGTGTCCAATGGAGCTATTGACCTTGTCACTAAACGAGCCATCAGCACCCCTGAGAGTAAGTAACTAATTTGAATAAGTTGGCTTCTCTTAGTCTTGCCTCTGTCTTCATGTATTTGCTATAGTAAAAATTTTTAGTTACAAGACGGTTCCTTTAACTGGATAGGAGCCCTCCTGATACTCAGCAACATGGGGCATTTTTCACACTGCATGTTTCGCAGTTATGACTTTTGTTAACTGAACACTTAGTGAATGATTGGCAAGTACTCTTTCCATTAACCAGATACACTTCATAGCAACCTGTGAGGGATTCTGGGGTGACAGGGGAAGCCGAGGCCCCAGAGAGGTCATGTGACTATCAGACAGCGCCATCTAGAGGCAGCCCTCCTTGCTGCTGGTTCGGCCCCGAGCTGTGGTCAGCTGTTAGCACTAATCTGTATGCACGGGAGTTCCGGAGCAAACTGAGACTGGAGGGGCAGCAGTGTGTCTAGCAGTGTGTCTAGCGCTGCACTGCCAGCTGTGCCAGGAGCCTGCATCGTCTCACTTCCTGTCTGCTGCTTTAGCTTCATGGCCCATGCTTTTCCTTCAGCTTCATAATATGAGGGTGCTTCATTCAGTTCTCAGAAAATGTAATTAAAAGATAAGTTTGCCTTGGTGCAAAAAAAGATTGAAATCCATGCATAGTTTTTTCACAGTATGCACTTTCCATGAATGTTTTGAAGACCCCAGTAGAGGGGCGTTGGAAGAATATTTTATCCCATTGTTTGCTTTACAGCTTCTTATGGCTGCAAGTCCCATAAGAAACACTATTTTGGGAAGAGGAGAATAGCATGAGAAAGTTGGTACAGCTGTGCCCAGGGTGTCCCTTTGTGACCCTCACCCTCTGCACCCCAGACATGTGCCGGCATCACAGGGAGCCTGCATCAGACCACACTCCTGCCTGACTCAGCCTCCATGTGCCCTCACCGCAGCCCCTCAGGCTACAGCAGGCCCCGTCCCGCACCTCCTGGCCCTCTCAGCAGTGCCCACACATTTGTTGTGTGCGCTTGCTGTTTTCTCTCCGCCAGCTCCACGAGGCCATGCGGTACTTGGAAGCTGGTGGCTGTGAACCAGAGCTCTGTTCCATGGTTGCTGCACGGCAGGGTGGGGAGCTGAGCCAGGCCTCTGACTATAGCCTCACTTCCCCAGTTGACCTTGGGGGCATTGCAGGACCATCGTGACCGCGGTTCATCTCTGTGATGACACGGCAGCAAGGTGCCAGGCCGCCCACGAGTCGCCCTCAGTCAGCTCACGTTTGCTCGCTGGGTTCTAGCAGCTTGCCTGTTGGTTCTGTTATTGTGGTGCTGGCAGCTCCCAGATACATAGTGGGTTCCAGATAAAGTTCATCCCGGTTCCCCTTTTCAGCGAGACTCAGGAACAGAACTCTGCACCACATCTCCCCAGACAACAGCTGAAACGTTGACGGCTTTTGCCATTAAAGGCAGTGGGTAGTTTTGGCTTCCTGCGCCTATGCTGAACAGGTGGAATGTTATGTATGTAAAAAATTAGCCTCTTTCCAACAAAAGTTTTCTGTGTTCCTGGCTCAGGGGCAGCAGTGCTTCTATTTTGGCAGCGGGGTGCCATATGCTGGAGAGACGGGGAGGGTGCATCTCATTTCAGCTGTGCTCTCCACTGAGCCCTGATCGCACTGGTGGGTGGGTGTCCCGGCAGCAGGTGTTCCTGGGCGGGACACCTGGCGTGGTGCGTTCATGCTGCCCTCGGGTGCGTGTTGCCGCTGTCTTTGCTCCTAGGGGTCCCTGGGTCGTGCTGCTCTCGTTCCTCCTTGAGGCTCCACGGCATAGGACTCCTAAAGATGCGACTTCTGCCCATCAGTCTTTATTCTGAACCAGGAAGACGTCCTTACAGGAGCGTCTCCTATTAGAGAACCAAGAATCACTCCATCCTGTTTTCTCTGTGGTTTATAAATGCACATTCTTACGACGTACCTTAAGTGGGTCTGACTGTCAGGAAGTGATCTCAGCTCTGCAAAGCTACCAAGGAGATGCTACTAGTTCAACTGTTACCACACACCAGGAGTATTCACAAACAGTGGTTTGCTCAGTGGAAGAGAGTAATTGTCACAGCTAGGATTTTAACCGAGGAGGGTGAGAGAATGGTAGCGAGTTCCTCTTACTGCTGAAGTTCAGGTGCCAAAGACAATTCTGCCTTTGATTCTAAGCCTAGTGCACTAGGGATCCAAGAGCCGGTGCATGGGTGCAAAGTACAGGTATGCAGCTCACTACCGGGAACCCACTCAGGGAGGGCACAGAGTGTGAGGAGGGATTTCAAATGGGAGCACCAGGGGAGACCTCACAGGAACAGGAGCACGCAGCACTGAGCTATTTTCATGTCAGTGAACCAGAATTCTCCTCCCTTGTCTATTAAGAATGCCTGAGTAGCTCTTGGGTACACAGACCATGGTACACTGATGGGTTTTACAATGTAGACTAGAAAGATACAGTCAGTACTCAGAAGGCAGCTCTGTGTGGGGGAATGGCAGGAATTCTAAAGCTCGCTTCCCAGCGTGTCGCAGAAAGAAGGGCAGGGCTCTGGCTCGGCGTCAGCAGTGTTGTGCCTGTGCTGTTCTGAGCTGCTTATGGAAGCTCACGCAAGGTGACGGGCCACATCCCGGTGGGGCAAGGCTGCACCCCCCCCCCCCAGTCTCTAAGACAGTCTGGTGTGCTATATAGATGGGGGGAGGGCAGGCAGAGCAGCTAGGCATGCAAGCGTGATAGGCCAGAGCCTGTTCGAGAGCAGGGATCTACACACACGCGTGTTAGCAAGGGAAGGAAACCAAAGGTGTCTCGGGGCCAGCTCAGAGGACAGAGTTTAGCTGTGCTTGAGAGGTGCCTGAGCAGGGCAGGTGCTGTACCAGCGACACCAGGCATGCAGCCAGTAAGGCAGCCCAGCGGTCACTAACTCATCAGCACTTACCTCGTACCAGGTCCTGCACTGAGCACTTTACACAACCTCCCTAGAAGGTGGGTAGGTCTTGGTTCCCATGTCAGCAGTGAAGCAACTTAAGGGCCCCAGAGGCAGAAGTCACACCATCTGCTTGTCTGTGCTCTCCTGCCTCCTAAGGGGGACTGGAAGAGGAGTGGCCCTGGTGGGGTGGGGAGCACTGTGAGGGATTAAGGGTGACGGGTGAGATGAGCACAGTGAGGTGGAGCACGGTGATGGGATGAAGGGAAACTGAGAAGACTGAATTGACAGGACTTGGTCACTGATCTCACGTGGAGGAATGGCTAGCGATGCCTGGTATTTCTAGCATGGCCGGGCCATTTACTGGCTAGGAACACAGAAGGAACATGCAGGGGCTGCCACTGTGGCATAGTAGGCTAAGCCTCCACCTGAGATGCCAGCATCCCATATGGGTGCCAGTTCGTGTCCCAGCTGCTCCTTTTCCAATCCAGCTCTCTGCTTTATGGCTTGGGAAAGCAGTAGAAGATGACCTAAGGTTTTGGGCTCCTACACCCTCATGGGAGACCTGGCTTCTTGTCAGCCCAGCTCCAGCCATTGCGGCCATTTGGAGAGTGAAGCAACAGATGGAAGACCTTTCTCTCCGTCTTTCCCTCTGTCTGTAACTCTGCCTCTTAAATAAAATCTTGGAAAAAAATAAAAACAGAAGGAGGAGGAATAATCTGAGTGGTGAGGTAGCCGCAGAGAGTTCAGGGGAGGTGCAGTAGGAAGTGTAGCGCTGGCTCCGAGAGGCATCTGAGCTGGAGGAGGGGCTAGTCAAGGCAGACACCAGTGCAGGCGGAAGGCCAAACAGGTGAGCAGTGGATGCTCCGAGGCCAGCAGAGCAAACTGAAGAGGACTGGTCAGCGGGGCTCAGGTGAAGGGAGAGTGCCTGGCTGGAAGGAGCCTTCAGCCCTGTGAAGTATGAAGTCCTGGGTCAAGTTGAGGTCTGAGCACTCAGATGCTACGTAGGGAATGCAGGAAACCCAGAGCAGACTCTTTGACCTGCTTGCTCAGCTGACTGTGGATGTCTTCTGCCAGCTTCTTATTAACTGTGGTGTTTCTCCCCTTTCCCCAGAGACCATCAATGATGTCACCTTTGGAGCAGGGGTCAGCTACATAGGGACACCACGGACTCCTTTTTCAGCCAAAGGCAAGTTCTGCCTCTCTGTCCGTTAGGCTAGCTGCCTTTGCGTGTTCTGGGAAGCTGAGTTTGTGCTTGATTTCCTTTCAGAGAAAGCTGAAACACAGAGCCACGGAAATGACATTTTGTGTTTATCATTGCCGGACAAACCGTAAGTCTACTCGAGTTCCTTTTGAGGTAGATGTTCTCATCAGGTTTTTTTTCCCTCTTAGTGCCAGAGTGTGTGTCTTTTAATTCTCCAGGCCTCCACAGCCTCAGCAGTGGAATGTGCAGTCTCCAGCCAGGAATAAAGACAACCCACCCCCCAGCAGGAGGTCCCAGCGAAAGACACCCCTGAAAACAGCCAACTGAAGCCTGCTCCAGAAGTGCCAGGAAGGCAAGAGTTTGAGGAGACTTTTTCTTTTCTCCTCTTCTCTCCCCTTTTCTATTACGTACAAACCATCGCGGATCATCTCTGTGGGCCAGTGGGCCGAGCCCCACATCCAGGACCCAGCCACAAGCTCGGCCCAGCCTGCCAGCAGTCGTCCCCACACATGGGGCCTTTCACGTTGCAGGTAACAGAACTGCTCATGTCATCCATGAATTCCACACACATGTGTACCTAGCACCTTGGCGATGCAGGCCAGCTTGTGTGCGTGATGGCAGCACAGCAGCGGTCGGGAACAGTGGAGAAACACGGGTGTCTCATGCATGTGGGCAGGCAGATGGACTGCCTCCTGCCTGCCTCAAGTGGTGCTTCACTAGGTAACCCCAAAGCTTGTCCTTGGATGCCGCCATTCTCTAATGGCTCACCTGTGCTTAGCTGGCAGACCTTTTGTATTTCTTTTAATGAAATGAATTGTGTGGTTAAAAATTTGTAAAATAATAGAGAAACACCACATTTAGATTTTCTTATCCTAAACTTCAACTATTTTATATTATAACTTTACTCTATTTGAAAAGTGTCAAGTCCATTCCTATTAAGCCATAATCTAGTTTTTAAAAAACACAACTCAAGAACTGCAGCTTTCTTGTATATGTCAAGCTTCTGTTAGCTTGTTTGAATTCCTTATAGTACATATTTTCCCAGAGTTAATAACAAAATTTTGACTGTAATATTTTTTCTATTATTTATAATTGCAGATTTTTAAGAAGTGTACAGTTTTCTGAAATAAATAAAGGTTAAACATAAATCCAGCATTCAGTAGGACCTTCCTTTATTTAGGACAGGGTTTCTGTTGCTTGTCATTTTAATTTTATACGCAGTATTCAAGAAGAATGAAACTAATGTTGGGAAAATGACTTCATTTGTCTTTAGGGTTGTGTCCCTGTTCTCACACAGCTGTTTGTCTCCTAACTGCACTCTTACCGGTACATAAATGCAGTTCCTGCTTACGAAAACCAGCGTCATATCCCTTAGGCTGGGCAGCACTGACACAGATTTGTGTGCGGCTCTGCTGAGAACTGCCAGGGGTTGAGGGGAGGGAATGATGAGAGGACCAGTAAGTAAACTTGGAACAGTGTTTGACCAGGAATGGCCAGAAAGAAATGTTTGTTCATATCTTTTAATCCCAGTATTACAGAAACAATAGTATGAAGTTACTATTTCTGCATGTTTGGGGATAGGATGCCATTGTGCTCCATAACCATGGCTTTCCCAGGTGTGCACTGAGACACATGTGGACTCGTCACTCTTGTGTGAACAATCATGCCAAGTCCAGTTCTGCTTTCCCTGTAGACAATGGTAGGATGAGACCAGTCTCAGTACTCTACTCCTAACAAAATGCCAGCAAGAGGCAGTAAACCCAACATAAGAACAAACAAGAAAGAAAGTATGGAGCAGACATTGATTTATTTAAAGCTTTTATAAATGAGTTTTAACAAATACCAAATTATAGGTGTGTTAGTACAAGTCTGTAACATCTATGTACAGCAACATCTACACCAAAAGCCAGAAGCACCGCCTGTTCAGGCCTTGAGCCTTCAATTCACATTCACATCTTAAAAATACTTGAGGGCTCCTGCTCTGTCTACAGTTTCACAGTAACAGGCAACTGCTTCCCCAACTCCACACCTTAATGCTGTCTCCTCTGACAGATCCAGCTCCCATGGCACCGGGGTAGATGGTTGGGGTGTAGGAAGGGAGGCAACAGGCCACCCCATCTTACGACAGCCGAGAAGGGAGCAGAGTGTTAAGCCCCAAGAAGTAGACTGGGGAGCTATCCCCTCCTACCAAGAGGAGGTGAAGATGAAGGGACAGTCTTAACTCTAAGCAGGCGAGACAGCAATGCAAAAGAAGACAGGTACCACGGAGGAATTGTTGCCTACGACTTCTGCAAAATATCCCGTAACAAAGTATGTCACATAACTTACAAAGGAAAGTCAACAAAAGGCTCAAGTAAAAAAACTGTCAAAGTACAAAAAAATTAAGACACTGAAAGTTGAATCACAAGGTGACTATGTTTTTCTACATAAAAACCATCCTTTAGGCACACAATGGAATTAGATGTTCCTTTTGAGAAACTCCTTGCTTCAAACCCCTTCACATCATGAGTGTAGCCCAGCGGTGTCTCTGAGGCTAAGAACATCTGCTCTTGAAGAACAAAGGCTTTGGATGATGTTTTTAATGTCCCCCACAAAGTGAGCACTGTCTTGGGCAGATAAAATATTTTAAATCAAAATTAGAAAACTGCTTTTGATTCAGGCGTGTGCTGTCCTCGCCATCAGGCTTTTTACCCTGGCTGTACTGCCCGACATGCTTCAGAAGGCTGGGCTGGCTGCTGCCACACAATGCTTTATTGTGAGCAGACGGAGAACCTGTGGTGCCGGGCGCTTTCTTCATGGCAAAGAGGAACGGTGGGATTCCTCTGTAAAAATACTGCAGTGGACAAACTTGATTTCAAAACTGCCCTTGGCCCTGGACAACCTCATTGAACTACACAAATAATTAAAATGAACTTTAGAAATGGCAGTAACTGCTTTGTTTTGTGAGCCGTCCATAGCCATAAAAAGGTCTGTCACGAGAACCCAAAGGCTGGGATGCCACAAGTGCTCCAGGACGCGTGCATACCACCGTGGAGGCGAAGGGTCCAGCACCTCAGGGGTTGTAAAGATGGAAGGGGGCGGGGGGCATCCTGGCTGTGACTCACCCTGGGAGGTGAACAGAGTGGTCTCTACGTGGACACCTGAAGGCTTCCGGGGGTCTTGGGGAGAGGCAGTTCAAAGCTAACCTGAGAGCTCCTTAGGTTTGCTTGGACAGACAGATTTCAATACTGCTAGATGAGAATTTTTCAAAGGTTTCCTAAGTAACAACCATCTGATGTACAGATGTCCTAAGTTCTCTTATGAAAAATGCTAAACCTTATGTGGCAAAAGGAATGTTCCAGTAAGCTTTCTTGAGAGGAGTCCTTGGATAAAATACTCTTAATTACTGATATTTTCCAATTCAACACTATTTGCTTGGAACTTCTACATTAAATTGACCTTTGTTTAAAAAAATAGGTTAACATTGTATGACAATATATTTACAGTTTAAATAGAAATTTTCTTCAATAATCAAAATACATCTTTAGCAGAAATTTAGAATGTAAAATTTTATAAAATAAACGAGACCCATAAAAAAGCATATTTCCGTACCATTTCTGACTTAGCCTATGACAGAGGTTTTGCTTCAATGCTGACACCCTCTTGGACATGCAGGGTTCCCCAGATTAGAAGACCCCTCTTCCAGCAAGGATTTACCTTCCTGATTTTTGGTTGTTTTTATAAAATGCTGATCCAAAAAGATTTTCCAAGATGGCTACTACAACAGTAACCACCAGAGCCTTTAGGAACACAGTGTGGGGGGCCTGTTGGCAGTGGAACAAGGCTGTCATGTGAGCCTTTTTCTGGGTTCACAGATGCAAATGTGGGCTGAGGGCAGTCACACAGCTGCCTTGTCACCTCCCATGGGCCCATCTGGCTGCTTGACAGCCAATGACAATACACTGGCTTCACAGAGCCTGTGCCTGAGAGCTGCTGTGATCACCCTAATAGGCGTGGGAATCCAAGTCGGTGTGTTCATTCTGTTTCCTTGTGGTTACCATGCCCATCTTGAGGAAAAATCTTTTATTCGTGTGGCTTGTTAAAAGAGTAAGAAAGGAGTAGCGGTCAACTTTGGCCAAAACAAAAAGCTTCTGCATGAGTGTCAAGCTCTGTCCTGGTGCACTCAGCAGGTTCACGGCTGCCCCGGACAGGAGATTCTAGTAGAGGTATTTGCACTGCTCTCAGCCACACGGCCAGGTTTCAGATCACAAATGATGACTTGTGCCTGAAGTCACCCTGCAAAGCCAATACAGATTAACAGCCAAGAGACCCCAGGGGCAGTGAGAAACAGAAAAACTAGCAAACTAAATGTGGGCCAAACGTGTCCTGGAGACTGAGCCATACTAAAAGCAAGTGTGAATCCCATTAGTGTGTGCATGCCACCGTGAAGGACTGAGGAGTGCAGGGTGTACACAGGAACTCAAAGATCTCCCTATGGGGCCCACTTGGTTTCCCGGCTGGGCATACCTGGACTTCCAGCTACTTACCTCTTCGTCTGTCCTGATATAGTTAACTCCATCTGACTTCCCTGGGGTCTTGTAACTGTGGACAGAAGGGGGCAATTCAGTGGCCTCATGCTCTGATCAAGGCTAGCTTGGGCTTAGATTTTTTCAGGCAAGGCGGGCTCACCTCTCTCCATCCTGCCTGTTGTTGATGAAGTAGCCACGTCTGTATGCACAGCAGATGCCCAGCGTTATCAGGGCCAGGACAGCAAGGACAACCAGAACACCCCCAATGATGCCAGCGATGTTGAGGTCATCTGAGAAGGAAGTTGAGGGACAAGATGACACATACCAGCTGTTCCTTAGGAAGACTTGAGCCCTCAGCCCCTTCCCCCGCCCTCCCAGACTCAGCCCTCTACCCACCCCAGCCAACCAGAGCAAACTGAGGGCACTAAGAGCTTTCTTCATCTAGAACACCATAACCCTGACTGAAGGGGTGAAAAGAACAGAGGCTGACAGTTCAAATGCACTGACACTGCATTCTGTGTTACAAAGGGCTTGGTAATATATAGAAAAATTTAAAATCCTCTGGCTAAATGCCCAAGACTGTTACTAATGGGAGAAATGGTTACATTGTATGGACAAGTTTAGGTGCCAGGAATCCAAAGTGAGTAAAAATTAATTTCCAGGATCTCACTTTCTTGTGAATTATTTGAAAGACGAAAGCTAGTTCCCAAGACTGGGAAGAAGCTCCTGGATTCATCCTGGCCCAGCCCTGGCTGTTGTGGCCATCTGGGGAGTGAAACAGTGGATGGAAGATTTTTCTGTCTCTTCCTCTCTGTAACTCTGTATTTCAAATAAATAAATAAATCTTAAAAAAAAAAAAAAAAACTAGGAGAGACCTTGCCCTTCTACTGCACTGGCCCCCTAGCCTCCCACCTGCAGGCCTCTTAGAGGAAAGTCCCTGGGAGTCCTTTATCATTTCTACATGCTGGGCGATGCACTTCCCTGTGAGAGCACTGGTGGCTGTTTCCTTTATGCACATAAGAATGCAGGGAATTTATCAACAAAAGTCAGTTAATTTGAAAACTCAAAATTCTCCATTACTCTAGTATGCTGGTTCTCAAATGTGAGTGAGTCCTTGAAAATCAACTTGGAATTTGTATTTAAAATGTCAGTTCCAGTTCCATCTCTAAAGATACAATAGGTCTGGAGAAAACTCAGGAATTTTCCTTCAGGAGAAAATGACTCTAGTGTAGGGTTTCCCTACCAGGAATGCTTATTTTACAGAGACATTTCCAGGAGACATCTGGGATGGGCCCAGACTTTATCATCAGGTAACTCTAGGAAACACTGCTGTGGGTGGTTACAAATAGGAAGGAAAAAGAGAACGGAAAGCACCAGGAGTGAGGAGGTGCGCCTATACGTTCTCTCCCCTCAGCATCCACTCTGGAGCCAGGTTTCTGGAGGCCTTGCACAACCACGTGTTTGATAATTCCATCGATTACCAAGGAACCGGAATTTATTAACTCACTGAATGCTACGTGACTGGCCATGTCTCCAACACCAGAAGACCTGGGAAGTCTTTCTTGGGAACCTGCTTGTCTAGACTCATCCTGTCTTCCCCAGTGCGTTCCAGCCAGCTCCAGGAGAAAGCTGACCCAAGGGAGA